TAATATATCGACCTCGTATTTGAATTAGATTAAAATTTGAGATTATTTCATTCATCGTTAAATGCCTGTTTCCAATAACTTTCTCTCCACTCACTCAAATCATTCAGCTCGTTTATTGTCCTTTATTTATCACTGTATCTCTTCCATCTGAATGATTGGAAAAAGCATCAATTTAATGATTCAAGTTTTAAAAAAATCATTATTCAATGGAATTAATTTTTTGTCTTCTTTGCTTATTATGCAATTCCGTGTATTTTCCCTTTATCAGTTGTTTAAAAACCTTAAATTGAGTTCACAGTGAACCAGTTAGTTATCCGCAGTTATTTAGGTGTGCTTTATCTTGCTAAGATGCAGTTTTCATCATTTCAAATGAATGGTTCCATTCTACATTATGAACAAACACGTTGATTATTTTCACCTGAATGCCAATGAGAAATAAATTTTAGAAAACTCTGTCCACTGACTCCTAGTATTCTACTAGTGTTGTTGCTGAACAATAAATAGGTACGTGAACAGAGTACCGCGCGATGAGAAAACCAAATCTCATTTGATAGATTAGTGAGTAGTTACAATGCGTATGTTCGAGAGAATATTAAGGACAGCTGTCTAGAGCGCAAAGCGCTTTTCAATGGAGCTTAAGGCCGAATAGTTTAAATAAAATGTGTAACGAAGCGCAATTCCCACCTCGAGCTTCATCAAACGGTTCTTTATTACAATGGTTCATTCGCCACATTATTGCTGATTAGCACTAGAAGGTGAATTTGTTTGCATCATTTTACCACATACTATCACCCAGATCCTTGTTCATCTAGTGCCCCTTCAGTTCACTATGGAAATCTTCAAAAAAGCTGCCTTCGTTTTAACTCTCCCTTAATGAAGGTTAATTTCGGTTGTTGTTCAAGATTTATGAAATTAATAGTATTTACATCAGAAAAAATATTCCGTTTCGTAAAAACTTCTTCAATCCGACCGACATTATCAGAACATTCACTAGTCTGTTACTATTTCATTTCCTGCATCAACATCAATATAACAAATATCTCCTTGCTGTCAACCATCTTTTACGAATGAGTGTGGGTGGGCTATTTATCCCGTGTATGTGCTCTTGCTTTGTTCATCACCTGTGGAATTGGTAGCTCGCGCTTTGCTGTATATATGAGAATGAGGTTATCGACAGACTATGATTTTCATTGTTTCTTGAAAAACTCTATGACGGATTCCAGAAACATATCAAGCTGACACATGAATGCCTACAGTTAATGAGTATATTGCACCTTTCCGCCCGTGATTAACGAGTGCAAGCAAAATTCTTTTTAATGTTCTCTCTTCGCAGTCAGTAAGAAGCAAATCAAAACAATAAAGAAATTTGTAAAAATATTCAGTCAATTGATAAGTTTTCTATAAATGCATCTAATATTACTTGACGTTTATTGGGAAATCAGAATGGCCAATAGCAGCGTCGACATTGTGTTTATTTCTGATCATTGTCTGATTACATCAAAAATAATTCATTGCATCAGTCTCCTCCACAAATGAATACAATCGGCGATGGCTATATCGTCTCATGTGTTCTTTGTGGTTTCGTTTTGTTTTTGTTCTTTTTTCTTCTCGAGGTGACAGTGCACGTACAAATTCATAGAACTGATTTGTGTATTTGTGTTACGCACATTTTGATTCTTTGAAGATGTATTCATTTAGAAGGAACACTGTTCATATGCTGGCAAAGGTATTTTATATTTTCAGAAAGATTTACTTTAAAGAAATAGTTATTCAAATCACAGAAGCATTCAAAAGGATTCTGTACATGTTTGTTCTCGCTATGTACCGTTGTTCTGAGAAGGATGTGTAATGCACAGAGACAATTAATTGTTGATGAAATGGTTATTATTACCTTATTCAACAACTTAATTTCTTCATGAATAGCATCAAGAAGTGTTTATGTGATTTGATTTGTGTTGTGGCTNGCCATATGACAAGCTCGTGATTTGTGTCTTGTTTATGATTGCGTAAATAAGGGGCGAGTTCGTTTTTTGTTGATAACAAATAATGCGATTCAGATAAACAAATATATGAAGTTGTGCCGCAATGACATCGTTGTCACCAGCACCCGTATCAGTCACTCCGACGTCTCAGTGGCATAGCGAAAAGTACAACCGATCCGAATCACGCTCTTCAGGACGATATGTTCCGTTAAATCGTTAGTGGTCTCATCATCTTATTATTATGTGAAAGCATGCAACTGAGTAGTCATTGTTCTTTGGCACTTGACGCTAACTTCACATTTTGTGTGAACAAACGAAGCAATCAGCCTACGATTAGTTTACTTTTATTGCCAACACTGCAAGTATGTTTTCGATGATGTTATGTCATATTGAATAGTCGCACTGAATTTTTCGATCATTACCATAAGAATGGTTTTCAGATGCAGGAGTGGTACACGATACATTGGATACTGTCGTGGATGGTGTTAACGCCACCACAGAACTTATTCGTCGAAAGAACAATGAAAATGTATTCGATATTGACATCTGATTTTTATTTCTTAACAAATAATCGTTTTGTTGAAGTGCTAATGTTATATCGAATTATTTTGCAATTCGAATCAATCCCAAATTCGAAATCTAAATCGAAATTTGTTCTGCTCTTCGGAATCTTGAAGTAATTTAACTTATTTCGTTTTCGAAAACCGAATTCAACTTCTGAAGTCGAAACTTCGTGAAATTGCGCAAAAAGTTCGAAATTTCGAATTGTAAACGAAAACTTGGTGGAATCTGTTCCAATTTTCAAAGTTTCAACTCAGAACAAGATAAATCCATAAGTAGAACTGGGACATGCTGAAGTATGTCTCATCATCAACAGGGGTGAGCCTTAACTCATGGCGAAACTTAGCCCATGTCCACGAAAAAGCCTCAGCCCCGCCCCGTTGCAAACTTCAGTCTAGTCTGGGGAGAAGCTTCAATCTCTGCTTTGGAATGATCCTTAGCCCAAGCACCATGGCAACCATCAGCCTGAGTCCGAAGTAAATCTCAACCCGTTCCCTGTCTTAAGCCACAGCTTATAGCCGGAGGAAGTCTTATCTTAAGCTCTGATGTGAGCCTCAACACATGCACCACGTTGAGTCTCGTCCTAAAATACAGTTGGTACACACATAATCCTGTTGTAAGCCTTAACCCAAGCCCGGTATGATCGTCAGTCTAAGCACTATAGCAGGTTTCAGTGTAAGCACGCGGTAAGCCTTAGCCTGAGTCCCGTGATAAGCCTCAGCCTAAGGAAGAGGTTATTTTCTGTAAGGAACGATTTTACTACATTTATGCAAAACTTGAAGAAATATTGAACACAGTTCCATCAAAAAGCAAACCTAAAACAGATCCTGCGTAAGTGTAATAAAATTTTGAATATTTCCAATTAGTTCGAATTTCGATTTTGAATTTGATGTGAAACAGAATTTTCGACGGGGCTTGATTGCCATCTATTTCGAATTGCTCACTGATACAGTCCATATCAAATTAAAGCACATTTACAATGGAGAAGTTCCTTCTTATGACAACGTTCAGACGAAGTTAGTCACCGACCACATTTTCCAGTCAGCATTCTTCTTTCTGTTTTCGTGAGACCCATTAAATTTGTACATTATCGAATCAGTCACTTATTATTGACCTTTTAAACAGGAAACTTTAAGGCAAAAAGTCATGAAAATTTACAACATTCATTTTTAAATGTGTATGGTAGTGGTTATTGCTCGCCATCAAACCGAAGAAAGCTACTGTTTAAGATATTGGAGCGAAAATCTTTTCACACAGAAATGGAGGTGACCGGAAATATTTCGGTGGATCAGTCTGATGAATGGCTTTCAACGAGACTGATGTCCATTAGCACCGAGGACATGCAAAAGGAACTTTCAAAAGTGAAGGATGATCAAAGTGAGCACAATATCTCGACAAAATAAGAATTAAATTTACTTCCGCAACACGAATTGTAAGCAGAAACAGTGATTGTCTATGGTGAACATTTACGGAAACATGCACTGATTCTTGCTATTGCAAACTTTTGAAGTTCTTTCTAGAACTGATATGCACAAACAAGTGATAAACTCTGATTACATTTGAGAACAGTGACAATGATGTTCACATTTTGGGACTAGATTTTTGAATTCAGTGAACGCCATTCGTGAAGATAAGTTTTTAGAGCAGAATGCGGTTACTGATACGCTAGCAGCACTCGTCTACGATATTGATGCAACTGCCGAAGTATTACGTAGAGGATCACTTAAAAAGCAGAAGAAACAGCAAGAGGTTCATACCCTTGTTTAGTTTACGTTTTTTTTGACATTATCTCGTTAAATGTTA